TCCCCCATTTAACATGCAATTCTTTACTGTGATAAAGAGCTGGTCATCATTTTATATCATTTTGTATGTCACAAACATTGTACAAAAGATATTTTAAACAAAAACAGAAGTTGTGAAGACCACTACAGATTGTTGAACAAGCCATGGCATTTTAACATTTGATTGTAGAGTATAACCATGTATACACACCTGGATCAAAGAAAACAATCGCTTTCAAACACGCAAATTCGTGATCATCTATCTGGACATCATGAAGCGGTTTCACCAGCTCGTCAAGTATCCGTGCTGCAATCCGACTGATTTCCAACTGTGGAGCATGTCTCGGTATTATGACATCATTTCCAAGCAGTAGGATGTCTTTGTAATTGAGTGAACGTTTAGCCACTCCCAGCACCAGGTGTTCACCAGCATGAGCTCTCAGAAGTGCCACCTGTTAGTGAAGTTAGGAATTAGTTTGGGTTCAAAGACGTGGGTTACAACACAAAATCAATTTCAGCGTAGTAGACCCAAATTTAACTATTTAGTATTACTACAATAAGATGTATGTTCTATGTTTAACATTTAGTAAATAATGCTGTTGAATACATGCACTAAAGTTTTATTTGGACCAACAAAATATCTTCCCTTTCAATCATATGTGGTGCACTTTACTGGTATGCAAAATGATTGTGCAGACATCTCTGTATCGAATGGCAGTTTAATATAATACAGTCCCAGTCAAACACGGATGGATTCTGAAGTTGTATAGTAAGAAAAATATTAATTTGAAGCTTTTGAAATGTAAAGTAACAGCTATGGGATTCCCAAGCCTTGCCAAAAACCAAACATTATTAAGCAGTATGTAGAGTTTTCAACATATTTAATAAGGTATCATCAAGTCAGAAAATCACAAACAAAATTCTCTGTTTGTAAAAAGACTATATAACAAAACAAATATTCAATGTAAATTAATTTCCATTTAGATCAGTTTGAGTTGCACACCAGACTCTTTGAGTTTTTACCCGCATTGCCATTATATGTTGGCTCCCTTTTGAATTTATAGGACAGCTACTCATACTGGTAGAACATCCGAGCAACATCGAACATACTCCCTAGACTAGTTGTGTTTAACATACTCCCTAGACTAGTTGTGTTTAACATACTCCCTAGACTAGTTGTGTTTAACAAACACCCAAAGCAGAATTAAAACAGCAATGTATTGTGGGATTTATTGTACAGACTGTAGAATTACTAGTATGTTTTTGGGTGTTCAACTCCCAGTTGAAGTTGAACCCTGGAACAGCCAATCATGAGCCAGCACTACAACTATTTTATGCTATGCTTACCTGGTCATCTAATGGTAATTCACAAAAGCTAGGTATATATTTGGCCCATTCCACTAACACTAATAACTGCTGCTTCATGCTTTCACATATGTCTTCAAGCACCGCAACCTTTTTATTCGATGATATGGTGTTCTCTGACAATGGTGGCGCCATCTGATGGGGAAACATCTGTAAAAGAACATGATGAATATTAATAACTACAATATTAGTAAATTGACTTTTTGATTGTGGGGGTCGGCATCAGAATAACAAGGCTTTAATTAGTTGATGACAATGGTTACAGAATTAAATTCATATGGGAGTATGTTATTCAGAGACCACATTTATTCAAAGCGCACTAAACCACAATTTGGACTTGATCATTAAAATATAACTTATTTTGTCTGGTTAACAGACCTTTGTTGTTGATGCCAATATAAGAGTCATGTCAACATAGAATTGATTATGAATAAAAAATTATTACTGGATTTAATCTGAGGTTTGGCTGGTAAGAATATACAGTGACTTGTGAATTAAAATCAACATGTGGACAATATAAGAAATATTGGTGTATCAAAAAATATAATTAATATATAGTAATGAAAAATATATAGTAGTTTAACAAGTGAAATATGTGCATTTAAATTTTGGAAAACAAAAATTGAATTTTACATTTTACAGCACTTTTAATATCAATCCTTTGAGCACCATAGTTAACTTTTGTCACCAATAAAAAAATTAAAACCAAAAATTTTTTCATAATTTTATTTTTTGTATAATTTGATCAAGACTTGTAACGAATAGAAAAATTTTGTTTATTTTGTTTAATACAATTATTAAAACATCATACAGAAAATGGAAAAATGTTATGGCGGGAAAAAATGTTCTCAAAAAATGCACTCAAAGGGTTATGATGACAGACACTGTAGTGTTTTTGTAACACTATTATTCACATGCAGGAAGTGAGTAGTAGATTCAAGTCTATAGAACCAAGGTTTAATAAGTAATAAGGTATGCAACTAGTGTGACTTGAGATGAAGATCTCGCATGAATTGTGATACAATTGCAAATATTTCTAATATTAACAGTGAGTCTGAGTGAAATGTACAGTGTTCATCTTGGATTGTCCTTATATGTACAAATACCGCATTTAAGTGTTTTTATGCATCATTGTCATAGTGGAAGCAGGATAGATTGACAGGCGTATGAAACTCACGATTAAAAGAATCACTAAAAATGAATTCAACTTGCATACCCTTCCACTTATAAATCTTTGATAGACCCAACATGAATTCAAAGAATAAAATTTTTTTTTTTTTTACATGTTGAATGAAAATAATTTATGGACACAGTGAGTTACATTCAGTTAAGATTCATTACGATGGCAAAGTGACAAAGCTGACCAGCTGCCAGATAATTATTAGATTATTAATACATATTCTACATATATGCGTGCATACTTAAGAAATATACTTACCGATAATTCAGTCTGAATCATATAACAATGTATAAGGTAGGCCAATGATCACCATGGATACAAAACCTAGAAGATGGTGAACATGGGGATAAAATGAAATGGTATGACATCAGGTACTCCTACACAACATGCAAATGAGGGTGGAATGGAATGGTTTTATTATGAACAACAACATATATAGAAATACAATTGACTGACCTGACGGGAAAGAACTTCAGCATTTAGAAGCATATTTACAGACATACTGCCGCTGGTTAGGTTGTCTTCGTAGCTGGTTCTACGAGTGCTGATTCGGTCCCTTTCATTTTGAACAGCTGAAACAGAAATGACTGATACAATAGGGTTACCTTGTTCATTACAGAGCGTGTGGCAATGTTACATATCAGTGGGGTGATCAAGTCAACACAATTTAATGTCGCGTGTAAACATACACACAGTCATAGATTATTATTTTTTCCAGAGACCATTAGCTACTGTAGCAGTATAAATTTGACATAGGCAATCCTTTACACAAATTTGATGAACATTTTCTTTCTTTACCATAAAACAATCATCATATTAATCAACATTTTTTACAAGACAACTTCAGGATATATTTTAATGCACAAGTGATATGAACAAGCCAGCCTCCTACTTAGATTTAAAAGCGATTATTGAGCAGTATATACATTTGTTCTAAGTGTCGGGGCTTTGAAGAAGTGTCAAAATACCTGTCGACTCGTCATGGCAGCAGTGTACTTCAGACACGTACCACTGTCACAACACATCAAAGTGACATGACTCAAAATGTTGCAATATACTCTGCTGTAATATATCAACTGAGTATAACTTTTTAAAATAACCTACTTGAAAGCTATCAGTAACTGTGACATCGCATTATAGATATTTACCTTCTTTTTTCATACCAGCTCTGAAACATTTTTTCAGTCGACAGTAGCGACACTGGTTACGCTTGTCTTTATCAACCACACATGTTCGACTGAAACGACAGGAATACACATGGTTCTTCCTTACACTGCGACGGAAAAATCCTTTGCATCCATCACAACTAGATGCACCATAGTGTTTTCCAGTTGCTCTGTCTCCACATATTGCACACACGGCATTGGCCGAAGTCCCGTTCATTTCGGCTTCTGAGTACAGAATAAAAAAAAATATTTAATTGTTTAGAATTCCATAATGCTAAATTTGTTTTTTTGTTTGAACTTCATTTATATAGGGTTAAGTCTATTCATCAATCAATATGGTAAGCTTCCATTAAGTATTGTTTTCGAAGAAAGTTTTTATCAACCCTTGATAATCTGTTAATCTTTGGCAAAACAGTTGTAGTGTTCCTTTGCATGCTAGGTACGATACGCAGCAATTTTATATACCCTGATCTCTAACTCAAAATGGACCCACAAGTGGGCAGAATTATGAACTCTCTTTTTATTGTTGATTCATGAATTGAACTTGCAATCTCCTTGACACTGGTAGGACAAAATTAAATCTGATCTATTTTCCAAATTATGATTATGATGTATTTTTAACATGAAAATGGTCGATAATCAGCCATCTTAAATTGGATCAACCAAATTGACATGATATATAATGTATACGTTAAAGTTTGATTGTGATTGGTAAAAGCATTGAAAAGATAAGGCTCCAGAATAGCCCGACATGTAGGCATGAGTGGCGTCCTCGCCGGCCGAACAGCATCAGACCCTACTAACGTCTGACAGAATAGCGTATGTCTTGTCGGCATGACCAATACTGTGAATTCGCATAGTTCATTCCATCTTGCAATGAGTTTCAATGAATATTCATTAAGTCAACCAACAAATAAACTCTGCCATGGATGGTTACTCTTTGTCACTATCTATGTTCCTGCACTTTGATTGGTACCGACAAGAAATCATCGGTGGAAGTAAAAAATTACATCGTTCTGTTAGCCGTGTGTTGGGTTTGAAGTACCGCGAACGGCGCAACTCATGCAACCTTTTCCAGAACAACATTTATTAAAACAAAATAGCCATCGGTTGGCTAATTTGAATCTGATCTGAAAAAACAAATATTGTGCATTTTGTCCAATTTATACATCAAATCCATTCACAACCAAGATCTGGTTCAGCAATTTATACATCAAATCCATTCACAACAAAGATCTGGTTCAGCAATTTATACATCAAATCCATTCACAACCAAGATCTGGTTCAGGAATGACTGTAATACCGATCATGAAACAAAAGTATGTGCATATTTATTCAAGGATGTATGATGTATATGGAATGTTTGAGTGTGATCGGTTCAGGCATAGCCAAGATGCAGATGGGAATGTTCGTACAGACAAATATAGAGAGATCAATCCATTAAGTTCCCATAATCTAAAAAAAACCTCATACCTTAAATATATTACATGAACTTATTTTGATCATAGAAACACTTGTGATTGACATAAGTACATATGCGCTACTAATGGAGTAAATACGGTATACACGCATCAATCTATCAACTTTACATAATCCAAACTATTTTGATTTGTATAGAACACTGGCTGCTCATAACGTTTAATTCAAGTTTTTACTCGTTGATGTTTTGAAAATCATTGCTGTTCTGAGCTTAATTCTAAATTCTCAGTAATAACGGGATATTCTTGTTTTTTCAAATTGTTCAGCTGTGTTATTAGCTTATTTGAGCATATCAATAATTGAATTGAATAAATGCATGTCAGCAGTTACATATAAATAGGCAGAGCAAGACACAACAGGCTCAAGATGGAATGTTTGATAACGATGTCTATCAAGGAGGGGGCCACCTGTAGATCACGGGTGGTGAGTGACAGTGTGCGTGTGAATAGAGAGGAGAGAACGGGTCATCTCAGATAGGGCTGTATTTTTTTTTTTTTAATTATCTCGTATGCATTTTTCACTGTCGCTAAGCAACAACAATGTCGAAAGATAATACAACTAATAGTATTTAACTAGTTCAACATTACTGGCAACTACTTATAGCTACCTCAATATAACCACACAGACATATGTAAGACCATTTGTACAAGCTGGCAAAACACGTCTAAATCAAACATTATCATTTGTCCCATGGAACATAGCCAACAAATCTGTTTCAGACAAAAAGGTTATAGAAAAGCTTAAATTAAATTTTTATTTTCAGCAATTTTTTATTTAAAACAATTAATACCATCCTTGAACTTGGATGTGATAGATTGCATTGATGATACATGTCATACCCACGTCACCACCCCTCTCCCACGTCACCACCCCTCTCCCACGTCACCACCCCTCTCCCACATCACCACCCCTCTTCCACGTCACCACCCCTCTCCCACATCACAAGATTTTCGTGGAATGTGGATATACGATTCGCTAATCTCTCTGGCACTGTCGTAAAATATTTTACAATCTGAATGATAATAATAATCATAAAAATTTAATCATAGATATTTCAATAAATATTATTCAAGTGGATTACTACTGGTCCCTTCAGGATTGGATATATACACATTATCAAATTTGACTTTTATATACATTATATAGATTATAGATTTGTATTAATCTGTGCTGCTCTATATTCAGTTACATGGAACCCTAACCACTGTAATTACACCATTATTAAAGTATTTTGAATATGGGTTTCATCCAAGATATACATGTAAGTGTGTATTTTAAAAATACACTGTGTCTTAACACAAAATTCAACCGTGTGTCCTGAATGTCGACTGTTCATCTTCACACCATGATGCGCCAAAAGCATCACTAGAAATTATCACTATGACTGATAATAATTGTACCTGGGTGTATAATATATAAAACAAGTCATTGAAAATGACACAGTCCCCATATTAAAGCGGAGGGGTTGTCGCAAGCGTGTCCTTGAAACTTGAGTTCCAAGTTCCAACAGATTGTTTATTTACATCAAAACACGTGTTCCGTGTAGTAGTAATATGGCCAAAAATAAAAAAAGCCGCTATTCGGCCATCTTAGATCTGATTATGAAACACACTGATATGTATGATGTATGTGCCAAATACGAATGAGAATGGTACATAAATTGTGGAAATAAAGTAGTAAGGCCAAAAAGTCAGATGGCTGTCAATCGGCCATCCTTGACTAGATTTTGAAACAAATTGTCACGGACATGCATCCTAACATGTATAAAGTACATGTATGTGCCAAATTTGAATGAAAACTGACAGAGCACATCCAAGATACCGCATAAAAAACAAAAACAAGATGCCTACCAGTCGACCATCTTTTATCCAATTGCGAAATAAATCGTCATGGACATGTATCCTAACATGTATAATCTATGTACCAAGTTTGAATGACAACTGACAAAGCATGTCCAAAATACAACATTTTCAAAAAACAAGATGGTTGCCAGTCGGCCATTTTGAATTGAATCGCTAAACCACTGCATGTGCATATGTACCACATAAGGTACTAGGCACATGCAAAGAATGAACGGAATTGGTCAACAGGATTCTGAAATATGACTCTGGACAGACTGACGGACGAACGGACGGACGGACACACGGACGGACGGACGGACGGACGGACGGACGGACAGACTCAGGAACTCACGGACAGTCGGGGACATGTATCCTAACATGTATGATCTATGTACTAAATTCGAATAAAAACTGACAAAGCATGTCCAAAATACAACATGGCTGCTAGTCAGCCATCTTTGATCCAATTGTGAAATAAATCGTCATGGACATGTATCCTACATGTATAATTTATGTACCAAGTTTGAATGAAAACTGACAAAGCATGTCCAAAATGCAACATTTTCAAAAAACAAGATGGCGGCCAGTCGGCCATTTTGAATCGAATCGCTAAACCACTGCATGTGCATATGTCCCACATAAAGTACTAGGCACATGCAAAGAATGAACGGAATCGGTCCAAGGGATTCTGAGATACGACTCTGGACGGACGCACGGACACACGGACTCACAGACGCACGGACAGAGACCGAATTATAAGTCCCTGTTTTCGGACTTCGTTCGAACGGGAACTAAAAAAATATGAATAACACATGTTGCATACTAATATTGGATAAAATCTAGAGTTGTATTCTGAGAGCATTCCCATAATTTTATTAGGGTTTTGGGGCTATTATGTGAGATATCTTAATATCTGGTCTGAATCAGTATGCATTGTGGGAAATACAATAATCAGTTATATATTTCAGCCTTTCAGCATTTTATTAGTACACATTATTTTTATAGACCACATATTGAAATTTGATTTTTCATTTTGAATAAGAAATGTGGAGTGTTTTGAGCATGTTAAAATAATGCAAGTGACCTGACGGTCGAAATAGCCCCGCTAAGTGCACGTGTATTATTATTGTATTAAAATTATTGTGAATTAAAATTAAAAAAATAGTATTCTGGATTTAGGTTAATCATAATGTGCAAACCAATAATACTAGGCAATTGTATGAAAAATCTCAGTTTAGTGCCTGAAATTCAAATATCATGGTTGCCCGTGGCGACTGTTAGGTCAGCTTCGTGAAAATGCACATGCCATCTTACCAGGTATTGTGTATAATCGGGCACATTAACTTGTTACCTCACCATGCACCATAATCAGTACATGCTCAGGATTAAAGTAACGTGCTGTCATGTGAATAGCAGGGTTAAACTGAGTACATCAAATCAGAGATAACAGCATTGATTACATTAAACAATTACTAAATGTTGAGTCATTGTTGGTAATCATTGACAACAACAGTCCTCATCTCATCTCAGTTCACTCACCCATAATATGCTAAATTGTTGGCACATATTTCACAAAATCCTTGCACAGTTACAGTTTTGAAGAAATCAATTTTTAATCACGAATCTCTTCATTCACTATATGCTATAATATATGTTATTATACATCTGTAACACCATACATGTAAATTAGGGTTACAGCGTGCTGTAATTTTGCGGTATTTTACATGGTATTTTCATCCTACAATATTAGGAAATGTGAATTCCAAATATGGAATGATTAAGCATGTTGGTCGATACTGTCTTCGTGCATACTTGTTGGTATCCTCGTAATAACCTCATATTATTTATTCAAGTACTCTACAATGTTGAAACCACTGGTCCAAATATTCAGATACAG